TTAAATACCAATAGAAAATATGAAAATATTGCGTATCGTTTAGAGCTTTTCAGTGAATTTGTTGTCATTTATATTGTCAAATAAAACTGTCCCAAAAAATAGAAAAAAATATATTCACATGAATCGAAATTAACATCGGTTCCACTACACTATTAACGACTTATAAAATAAATAGAATAATGATGTAGGTACACCCAGGGGTGTGTTTTCAATATCCTTCTTTTGTCATATTGCATTCACAATGCAATTATTCTACGGCCAGGCATGAAATATTTTCTAGGGTATTTAGTTAAATATCATCAAGTAATTGTTTTATTATTGTACAATAATATGAAATATGAACAATGACTAATACCTGAGCCCGTTTTGGTCGTATAGCGCATCCCCATCGGGCCCCAGCGTCGTTGACCCCGAGTTTTTGCACATCATCGTCGCAACGGTGCCCGCCTGCACAATCTAGAGCGACACACTTATCTCGCTTAGTGTTGAATGCTGGACAATGGTCTGCGTCGCTGTCTTCAAATATACATATCAAGTATATCGAAGTTAAATTATACTATTAATTAGCTATCGGTATGTTTTATTGGAACGCTTATATTTTTTAAATATACGATTTTACGTATACAATAACGATTTTACGTATAAAATACGTAAATAAACTCTCAAAGATTAACTCGCCAAAACACGAGTGTTGTCCATCACGTAGGCATTGCCGTCCGTCCGGTGACGGAGTAATAGTATAATACAGAGAGTCACCACCCCTATTCATGCCGTGGGTGTCGTAAGAGCCGACCAAGGCCCGGAGTTGTCAGAACGTCGGTCGCGTGCGAGCGACGACCGACGCGTGGCGTGCGAGTGGGTTATCTGGACGCGGACACTAGCGTCTTGTAATCGTGAATCGTGTTTGTACTCGAAGCAAAATGAACGAATGTATATTAACATTGTTTAGAGAAGAAGTGGCAGATGAACTTCTGATGTTATCAAAGAAAGAAAAAAAAAATTCAATATACATACACAATCACCGACCCACATAAATTGTTATTTGATACATCGAACAAAATATTATTATATCCTATAAAATAATTAACAATACGTCATTTTCACTATTAAAACTCATTTTAAATGTGTGCCCGTCGCTTTGGTACAAATATGATACCAATCGACGCGTGGGGCGGGCGTCCTTGTCCGCTCGCAATGTCCGCCGCCGACGAAGTTTCTAAGAACTCAGCGCCGAGCATTTCCATACATAGCATTCGTACGCCACCGGCGGAGGACACGCGTCGGTCGACCGCCGTTCAGAGAACCAAGGGAGCAAACTAAGCAGGACAACAGCACTGCAAAGACAAACCCTAAACCAACCCGTCTGGCAACCGTGGTAAAGCAGGCCAAAATTTCCTTTCTAAGGAGAGGCCTTTATCCAGTAGCTGCTCAGGCTGCTGGACTACTGAAGGCTGTTGATGATGATGTCTACCCTATCTCATGAAACACTATCGACATTACTTACTCACCGTCAGAAAACATATGGCAATATTTATTAAATAATCTTTATAAGGTGTAGGTTCTTTCCCAGTTGGATGTTTAAACTGAATAAAAAATAAACCAGCAATCTATCGTGTTTTATTTTCCTATTGCGTCGCAATACGTTATCATCAAATAATTACTATCTAATTACTATTTATTCTGGATAATAAATAAATTAACAAAGTAGAATGAATGTGCGGTCGCTCTCAACGAAAGTTAATAACAGTAATCGTTGTTATTGTTTTCGGTCAATATTTATCTTGTTAGATAAATTGAAGCACTTAATCACTCTGAGTGATTTGTTTTGATTTACAAGTCGAAACAATTAAGTGAAGTAGGATAATACTTTAATACTTTTCATTCTCTAAGGAATCTATCGAAAATAACATTCCGTAAATTATTTTCTAAGTTTTGAATTTAGTTGAATATTATTATTTCACTTTTAACTTTATGCACTTTTGTACATCGGCGGACTTAATGCCCAAGGCATTCTCTTTCAGTAAACCTTTAGGTGGTTTAGAAATCGTGACTGGTAGGCGCACATAGGTTACAATAATAATTAATCACTAAAATATACGCTATACTAATTAATATTCTACCACATTCACACACCGCCATCTAGTCCGAAACTAAGCAGAGCTTGTCCTATGGCTACTAGACACAGTTGTCTAGTAGCCATAGGACAAGCTCTTAGACAAAAATAACAAAAAAAAGTATTTATATCAGTATATAAATACTTTTTTTTTTGTAAATACATACAAATTATACATAGAAACCCCCAGACCAAATCAAACATTAAATGTTCAGGCACACAACACTACGCAGTATTAATACATAGGAATGTTTAAATTAATCAATTAATATTTCTTACAGACATCGTATTCTTTTATAAGATAGAGTAAGAAGTAGAATAAGAAGAAATTTTGGTCGGCATGAACTAAACTCATCGGTGCCGTATGACATCATAAGTATTTATTTATTTATGCATTTCATAATTATTTTAATCTTCAAAATGTGGACAGTCTTTTAGATTTTAGACTAAGAAACAGGTCGAAATCTTTATTTCCTGGTTATCAATTAATACGATCCAACGTAAGTTATAAATACTTATATCTAAACAGGAACACAATTTTAGGGTCCAATCCCTTCCAGCACATGAGCTAGATAGATAAGATACACAATCGTGTATCGCTTCCTTGTATCTAGTTACCTATTGTAGTGTTGTGTTCGCACTGATCGACGTTTTCGTTGCGTCCTTCACATCCGTTAAGAAACAGAAAGAGATAACACGACAAAGGAAAACGTTAGGCTATATGTAGTCGGAGCGTGCGGCGATAACGGCGCGGGCGCGGTGTTTTCGCGCATGTTTCGCCCCCGCCCGGGCCCCGGGTGAACGGCCAGACAGGCGGGCGGCCGGCCGTTAAACTTGCCTTAGACCCGTCTTGTGGCCTCGCGGGCCTCGCGTGCTACCAGCGCCGTCGTCGAAGAAGTCGTCGTCGCCCGGTGACAACACACTCTGTCAACGCCGATTCTTTTAATGAAATCCTGGCTTGTCTTCTTGTTTGAATTTTTTACTGTTTATTCTTGTCCAAATCTGAAGTGTCAACACATTATGAACATGTGAATGATTTTAAAATAGAATTCGTAAAGGTAAATAAATAAACAAACATGGTACGACTGGGTCTATATTTCTTAAAGTTGCATCATCGTCTGTTTGTAAGACTTCCGTCAAATTAAGTTTAACAAAGAGTAATTAGTGAAAATATTAGAATAACTTAAGACCATTAATTTAGTTTGATAGTACGTAAATATTGCATCTGACTGTTAGTGTTAGGAAAAAATCCTTATCCATAAGTTCATCAAATACTTCAGACACTTTGTTTCTATCAACATTGAGTAGTAGTGAGAACTTTAGCCAATGAATGTAAATAAAGTATGATAAATAAGACGTATTATACATACGAAGAAAACATTCACTGTAATTCATGAAATGGGTCACATTCCGATGCATTTCGATTCTATTTCCACTTTTGCTGGCCGTTCAGGCCAAGGTAATGTTTATGCGCTGTGCTCGCCGGCCCTGCCGCTATGAAAATCTACGAGATACATTTTTCTACTGCGTAAGTGGTTAATAGAATACCCACTGAATAATTCACTAGTTGAAGACGGCTAATAAAAGCGTGCCCGACAAGGCGCTGGCGGTCGATATGTAAAGAGATGAGATCTATTCAGGAATAATATCGTGGTTGTTTACGGTGCGGCTCTCGGTTGGATTGCGTCGCAACGTCGCTAGTTTGCCCGCAGCTCAGACGGACGCGATGGGGGAACACAGGTGGGATGGAGCGAACGTCTGCGTCGGTGATTTTTCGTTCTTTGTTTGCGTCGAGGATTTGCATCCAATCGGAGAAATTGCGTGGTTGGCAGGAGCCGAGAAAAAAGGAATTCGTGTAGTCTTATGCATATGACTGTTCGAAGTGCGGGCCCTGCACTTTCATCCCTAAAGCTTTAGTTTTTCGTATATTTACATGGCTTACTTTTATAAGGCAACTTAATTTTATTAAGACTTCTTCTTCATTTTCTTAAATAAATTTTATTTAAGAAAATGTGTGCGAATCGAACACTAAAAATATTAATTTTAAAAAGGTTTGTTTTGCACAAAGTGTGCTAACAAATTTATGCGAATCGGCTACTCAGCCAATACATATCACTGGAACATCAAACTTTGACAAATTCCTTAAACCATTTCCAGAACCATAACCATTTTCATTTATACGTATATAGACATTTTAATATTCTACATTGCTAAGATTATGTTGACGTCCATTGATATCTATTAATTAATTTATTACTTTGTTTTAAGTTGATAAACGAGTGGGTGTTTTATCAAAATTTATTATTTTCTTTTCTCTATATTAGCATGAGGTAGCTGATAAATCAGTTAGTATAGCCTTATAACACAATAGAGATTTGATAGTGAATCATAGAATGTTGTATTGGTCAGTTGGTGTATAGTTTACCGAGGCGTTTGTCATCTGAATCACGTGGCCTTCCGATAGTTATTATATTACTAGCAAGCATTGGTTTCGCGCGTTAGTTGTGGCGGGCTGTCCGTGCCGACATAGCGTCCTTATCGGCAGAGACGTGAAGTGCGCATCAAGATCGCCACGTGTATAAACATTGTTTCACAACAATAACACAGTGACGCAGGCAAGGACGCTCGAACTTGCTATGTCGACCCATTGCTCGATACATTGATAGTTTCACAACTTCGTTTTGTGCTCATCAACACCGAAATACAGTATGTCACACTGTTTATACGTTAATGTAACACCATGAGCGCATTTGATTCGTTGCCTTTACAGCGGACGATGATTTTTCGCAATGTTTGGATTGTACAAGTGGTGGTTCGTGACTTAAAAAGTGATTGATTTAGTGTTTTTGTGCAGTGCTGATTACCATTTAGGCAGTGTTGTGTAGTGATGTCTATTTACTTCAAAAGCGAGACTAGCAATAGTAAGTTTCACATTATGGTCATGTAATAAGTTTCCTGAGTGGCATTGCAGCCTGAGCATTGTAGCGTCAAGGAGATTGTCTTAATGGATTCCTAATTGGATGAAGTTTCTACTAGAGAACTGCGCAGTTACATCGACCCACAATCGGTTATACATTTTAGTCCAACTTCCATGTCATAGATATCTTACGACCTTGTGCTTAATACTAACAAATTAAAGTACTATTAGATCCCTATGTAACAGAACTGTGATAAGAATGATCGTACTAACATTCTAATAAGACAACACTGACATGAACCTTTCAAAAATACAGTCGAATTGAGAACCTCTTCCTTTTTTTGAAGTCGGTTAATAAGCTGAAGCTGAAGTAAAAAGCTACTTAAACATTATTTAATGATGGATAGTGCCTAGGTTCGTCTTACTACGACTAATAATTTTGTTTTATTACTATTAGATATAGATTCTTAAATTTGGAAATTAAAGTTAACGATTAGTAAAAAATGAATTGTAATATTTTGCATCTACCAACGCCAGTCTACCGGAGGCTAGTCACATTCCTGACATAGCTATCACAGGTTGTCGGCCGACACCGCGGCCTATTCCGAATGGCTCACACACCACACCGATGACGTAGCTGCGCGTCTCTACCGTTCGTCGGCCCGATACCTTCGTCATATATCATTTACCCACACCTCCCTTCACACTAGCAAACTCAGATCTCAAAGGGGGAAGCCGACCTTGTGGCAGAGGTCTCCATACCCTGGACGTTTTTATTGAGTTGTTTAAATGCAAACTTGTTATAATATCACCAATAGTCGTATCTTGTATACAGAACTAGCGTGTGCTTTTGCCGCGTGCCCCTTTTCTACGTCGAATTGTCATACTATATATGTAATCTATCTATTTAGAAAAAACTCCTTTTATATCATTCAGAAATAAATCAATCGGTGGAACAAGTTATCGTCAGCGGTATTTCCGAACCGATACGACCTTCAAGAAAATACCGTACTCCTTCATCAAAGGCCAGCAACGCGCTTGTTACTCCTGAGTTGCAGTCGTTCATGGGCAGCGGTAGTCTCTTCCATACGGGTGACCCGTCCGCTCGTTTGCCCCCTCTTCCATAAAAAAATATATAAACTAAACGGTAATCGAGTATAAGAAAAGTAATTGCTTGTAGTATGAAGATGCATCCAATTTTCTGAATAATTAGGTGTAATGCAAAAAAAAAATCTATTCATGAATATGCGTTGATTAATTTAACTACTCATTCAATTTGTACGTAACTATGTTGTACTGGTAAGAAATGTTTATAATGCTAATAGGCGGATACGGCTGATTTTCAATCGGAGCCGCGTCGTACGAGTACATCCATTCATATGAGCGTCCGGAGAGTTATCCGGATGTTGATAATTTTAACTTATTTATGTATGCCACGGGTTTCGCATGTCTCTTAGTAGATATACAGTCATGTAGATCTTACTGGAAGTCATTGGGATATCAACTAAATCCAGTGCATTATGTTTTTTTTTTGTTTAAGTCAAGTTATACAACAAGTTATTTCTTGGCACTAGTTTTTGCCCGCTTACGCAAGACTAATTATTCTATTACTTTACATTACATTTAATTAATCATTATAAAAAGACATACGATCCTGATAATTTTGATGATTAACGAGATAAAATAATATTCTATGAAAATAAAATATTAAAATCAGCACTTACAAACTGAAAAAAAAACAATGATTTTTTGAATGTATTATAATTTTGGTAACCATTTGTGATCACTGCTCCGTTCCTGAGTATAGTAGCGTGATGTTACATCATATTATAATTTTTCAAACTACTACTACATTAGATTAACGCGTTTAAATATACGAACTATCAAACAAAAAATATTTATAATTTATATTTATAATTTTAGGTTTGATTTAGTTAAGCCATAAACGTTTTCTTTTATGATGTCGTTAAGTATGGTTTACGATTGTTTTATTCAATTCGTAGGTAGCCTGCAACTATCCTACATACTGCCATCTCGGTTTGGTTAAACTTTCATTAAAGTACACAAACTTTTAAAATTAATACTTACCTTTTTTTTATTTCTTTAGTTCTTATTTTTCCACCAAGCTATACTCTAGATTGATATGTAATCCACTGCAGACCTGATATAACAATACAAGTATTCTCTCTAAGTAGAATTTCTGATTTAGTGCCTTACTAAAGTTATAAATAGTAATTAATTTACAGATATAAAAATATTAAGCCAAGCTATTTTAAAAGAAATGTTTATTTGTGCCTTGTTATCTGAAAGCGAGCTCAGGATATCATTTCTAAACACAACAGTACACCTCACAATAAACTACGCAGTTGCCTACTCTTCTGGGTAACATGTGTGAGTGACGATAAAACATCAAATGCGCGTGCACGTACATACTTCATAATAGCATTAATAGCTCTGATAGCCTACCAATATTGACGTTATTGTACGAATATGGTTTTTACTCTTATGAACTTTGAATTGTTCTAAACACTGTTACACGAGGTTTTTTTTACAAAGTAACTATCTGATAAAACTTGCATACTTACTTGTTTTATACCCGCAGGCTTTTTCTTTATCTTCACCTACCTTACTTCGCTTTTGGTAAAGTTAATTTTGTAAAAAGTTTACTCACCTAAATTATGCTAGACTTCTCTCTTGTACTTAACATGAGTCCTAACACTCGACAAAATAGTGTAATAAATTCGTAAGTCTAATTATGTCCATTTTTAAACTTTTTCATACCCAAAGAGTTCAAAAAAAGAAAAACAAAATACTTGTAATTTAAAAAAAAACCTTAGTCACAGCAGTAAAATATCTGTTGCTTTAATAAAGCATGCACTCTAAAAGAGCCCTAATTTAAATACATAGCTGTGTTTGTAACGTACGCGTAATGAGAAATTGCGAGACGTTCAATAAACTTCAGCTCAGCTCAGCAAGTCAGTTGCGAGTCTCTATAGTCAGTGTTTTATTATGAAATGTCAAATCGTACCAGACTGTACATAAATGAGACTAAATTAACTTGTCTGCGACCTCTGGATTGAATACGATAAAGTTCACAGGCACACCTGTGATTATATGTTAAAACGAAAACAGCTCGGTATACTTTTACGTAAAACATTATTAAAATTCAAATTGTATTAACACATGACAGACTGAACTTAACAGAGGGCACTATACTCTATTAATTGAATTTATTTTACGGAGATTTCTTATTCTAATATATGCTGCAGAGGTTAATTTAACTGTGACGGACGGGTTTTGTGTAATGTTAATTTAAAAATGCGCCTGGAGATTTGTAACGTTATATTTAAGGAATTAGGAAGGAGGAATTTAAAAAGTACAAGTAAGTAAGTCCCAACACTAAGCGACTAACACAAGTGCCGTCTTTTGAACACACACACGCACACACACTCCCACACACACACACACACACACACACACACACACACACACACACACACACACACATATATATATATACACACACACCCTCTTAATCAGGGGCAGGGGAGTTTTAGGCTCCGGTAATCTCACTCGGTGAAAAGTGAGGGTGTGGTATCGCTCCGGTCGAGCCAATCTATTTTTGCCGAAGCTAGGCTCTCCCACAACAACTGGGTCCCCCGTGTATTCAAGGGTATTTCAAGGTCCCCGGTTTTCAAAAGCAAGTAACGCCAAATGCCAAGCCATCATCATAGGCAGTCCGCGCATGACTGGAAGGATGGATCAAAACAAACTGCCACCCAGTACTTATAACGGCACAGTCATTCCCTTCAGTCCCTCTGTTAAGAACCTAGGCCTATTTATCGACTCCAAGCTCAGCTGGCAAACCCAGGTCACCAGCTTTAGCCAGAGAGTCACAGGTGCGCTACGAGCCTTCTATCGGCTTAAAAACTTCCTTCCTTCCGAGACAAAAGCGATGCTAGTACAGACTCTTATTGTCCCCATCTTGGATTATGGTGATGTATGCTATTATGACCTGAATGCAGATCTCCTCAATAAATACGACCGCCTTCTGAATAACTGCATTCGATTCGTCTTTAACCTTCGCAAATACGACCATGTTTCTTCCTCTCGTCGTGAATTGAACTGGCTCACGATTCGTCAACGCCGTCAGCTGCACGCCCTCACCACCCTCTATTCCATACTCAACTCACCTATTTCCCCTTCCTACCTAACATCCTCATTTCATTTTATATGTGCCAATCACAACAGAACTCTCCGTTCATTAAACAATCCACTTCTGTTATGCCCCACTCATACTTCCGCATGTGTCCACTCTTCGTTCTTAATCCAATCTGTCCTCCTCTGGAACGCTCTGCCTTTGGAAATCAGGATAGCACCCAGTCGCCTCTCATTTAAGACGAAAGTCCGAGCTCGAATTCTCGACACTTTAGCAGACTCATCACACCCCTAAAGTCATATGTTATATGTATATATACGTATGTACTATATGTATGTATGTAACTCAGCAAGTATATATATGTATGTGTACCTCAGTATGTATGTAACCTAATTTTAATTTCATGCACCTACTCAGACATTTCCCCACCACCCAAAAGTAGACTGGGAGAAAATGCCTTTGGCATTAAGGCCGCCACAATGTTTTGTTATTTGTTCAAAAAGAATTAAATAAAAAAAAAAATAAAAAAAAGCTGACACATGTCTACTTTTCACCATTAGCATTATTATAAAAGGAAAATGTTTACCGTTTTATGACCCCCTTTTTCCATCTAATCTGGTGGTAAAATCAAAGGCAAGGCAACATGGGGTCTTCGACGTTACGGTGCTTAATGAATTGGTAAACAGTATTGGGGGAACCAACTCACAATCCTATAAACAACATAATAATATAGACAAGTACAAGTAAGTTGTAGGTCTAGTCCTATGGGGTATCATGTGAGTAAACAGTAAGGTATATAGTTAGGTCAATAAATATTATATTATGTTGCATCGTGAGAAGTTGAACGGTTTAATGGTCGCACTTGTCTAGTACATAACATAGAATTATTACTAATGCGACATGTTATGTTGCTAAGCAATCTAACCTTATAGTAAAGTATTACACAGCATTTATTAAGGTGCATGTATCGATTTATAATATTTTTTACGCCTGATAATTTTTTCACTGCTCTTGCCAAGAACGCAATCACACAATCCTAAGAATATACATACATATATCGCTAACAAATGTCTATACTGAATTTCCATAAACGCACTGGATGACGTGGTCTCTCTGGTAATCCGTGAAACAAGTTATTGGCTGCAATGATTCATTCACCTCTAATATACCTATAAAGCATTAGGATCCGGCACCATGTAGGCGTTGATCAGGTGAACGTGGCATGTTCACACGGCAATTTAAGCTATTACGATATTAGATTGATTGAGATGCGCCGCTTGCGTCGTCTATTTGCCTGATAATGATGAAGCTGTTTTAACTTGTGTTGATAAAAAACTACTCGTAGTACATGCCTATTACTAACCACGTGAACTGCCAGCCGGTGTGTTGTACCTTGCGAATAATCTTTAAAAACAAATTGTTTCTCCACTCAAAACCACTTTACCGTCCTTAGTATCCTAGTATCAGTAATTGTATTTACCAAATATTGATTAAGTACAATAAGCTTCGTGTACATGGGAAACAAACGTGATGGCTAATATAACAGTAAAAATAGTACAGCTACAGTTTAAAGAATAAAATGTTAGTTAATCTTTGTCATGTGTATTGAATGTGATTGTGCGATCTCATTGTCGCCGACAGCTGCTCTTGCAAATAACAAGTTTTCCATAGAAATGTATTTTTGTTATTGTAATAATCACTAAAATGTATTTATTGCAGTGGGCGTCGTTGGCGGTGGTATACCCGAGGCCGCCGGCGGCGAGAGGCGGCATGTGCCGCTGTACGGTAGACTGGTAGCCGAAGACCAGCTGGCGTCAATGAGTGCGCCATCAGACATTCAGGTGAGCGCCACAGTGCGCGACCCCCGAGCTTTCTGCTGCTACCATACCCCTGCCCAGGTAAATGATGCACGAGGCAGTTTGCGATGGACTAACGTCCTTTTCTGAAGCTTAGGAGATTACGATTCTGAATATAGTATCTCGTTACATCTGTAACAATAAATGCCAGATGAAAGCGAGCATACACTAAAAGTTCCTTAAATCCCGACCTCCGCGCCACACCTATTGTTTTATTAAAAGAGCCATTAACCACGCGTGTCTAGACATTATTCGCAAGTAAATAAATTAGTCAGTAAAGTGCCACTAATTACCTGCTACAACTAAGTTTTCTTTCACTAGAATACCTGTGATGTATTCAGTTAACATTGAAGCACGTACACTCAGCGATCGATAGAGATAGCCCCTCGTCTAGACCGGGTTAATTAATAAATGTTCAACTATTGTTTCTCGCGAGAAAATATTAAGTTTCCTTCTTATAGTTTCGAAGCTAACATGTTCCTGTACAAAATTTGTAAGACAATCGGTAATATTTTGCACTCAGTTAGTACGTTCTATGACGTTAATAGCGCCGGTATTAATTCATCTTTATTACTGACAGTCATTGCGTTATAGATTCTATATTGTAGGCTCGCCTCAGCTCAGGTGTGAACCAATTGTTACACATTATTATTGAATAGATGTTTATACAAACCGTCTCGTGTATTAAGACGTCTATATGCGTCTCTTGTTTAGCTTCACCAATGTTGTGATAATCCTGTATTATTTTATAATTTATACATTTGACGCCTTTTAACTAAGTTGTAAACTTTCTTTTTTATTAAGTCTGTTTATTCATTTTACCCATCAGTGTGAGTCTAAACTCCTATGCTTTTCTTTTGTAGTGTAGTAATAACTTATTTTGCCTAAACATCCATAGCTTTTCATTGCTTGTTTTCTGCTTTTCATTCTCGCCAATTATAAATAAAACAGTATTTCTCGCTTGCCCAGGCTATGCAGGCAAGAATACCACATCACTTTCGAGACCCTTCGACAGCACCGCTACGGAAACTCAGCGTAGACCTCATCAAAACCTACAAACACATAAACGAGGTATGTAAAGCTTCATAATGATTTTTTATAAAAATCTTAATGCAGCAGGTATTTTATTAGTTATAATCAGAGTGTATCATAGCAGGTATTTGAAAGAATATCAAAAAAAATATTTATATCGCTTGAGACCGATTGTTCGATTTATCTAGCATAACTATAACATAACTATATATATAACTGTGGGGTATTAATTTACTTCCTACCGAAGCGTAGTGTTGCTTCTCGTTTGAAGTAATTAAACTGCGAGTACCTTTATAATTATTGTTTATATCGTCGTACGCGGAAATTACTCATTAATCTTTCAACATGTTTTCATTTTTAAACCACAATAATTTATACCAAAAATAAATTTCGAATACGTATGACGGTTTTCGTGCTTTAGTTTTAAAGCGATCGCCCTTAACGTCCTACATATTCTGCGAAAGATCGTTCGGCCTTTTTCGATGGCGGTAGGCGAACCGTTGCTAGGTCGGGTCGCGTGGGAGCAGATTTATTGCATCGTAAATAAAAAAATCTCAATGAACTACTGACTGGGTTTTCATTGAAGCGGAATCTGGGTTAATTCAAATGCTATATTAATTCTTGAATGCAAACAAACCTTACCTAACAAACATCTGTAACATATTAATTGTAAAGTATAATTCATTATGCATATGAATACGATTACTTGAATAATTCTGGTCAGAGATATTACTATAAAGTTGATAAAACTAGCGGCTGTATCGATTGATGGGATTTAAAACCACAAAATAATTTATTTATGAATGTCCTTCGTTCAGTGAATTTATGACGATGTCGAGGACGATATATACAGTATGCCCTTTACTAAAAGTATCTAAATATTTAGTAGTCAATAGTGTTGCCGCTAGACTGCACTGCTCAAATCGCTACGTTGTAGTAAAACATTTTTCTTATTACGCAAATAATTTCTTTCGCCATCAAAGTCTGTTTTCCGGTGCACAAATTCCAGCTCAAGTGTATTGACCATTAATATTATTGAAAGGTTTTACAATCCCGATTCGCTTACCTAAGTAGGACCATGAGCCAAAGAACGAAACTATCATGTATTATCATATATTATGGTTTATTCGACGTATGTTGGTGAGTGCGATTTCTTTAGTGAATTAATAAGCATTTCTCATTTGTTCTTAAACGTAGTTTTATTCTTCAATTATAATATAATTATAGTGTAGAATAAAACCTACGTTTAAGAACATATAATTATGGACATATATACAAATGTGTAAAAATCATATTTAGTTTTCTAACAAAGCAACTGCGTTAGTCTCTGAAGTCTCGGCGTAGTAAGTACTGCGTCATAATTTTCCTTGTTTACGAGTACAAAAATGACGCCTCTTTCGTCTTTTACACAGAAAGAAATGTTTTTAATTATTATTTTTAATGATGTTTCATTGTCGCTGTGCACTCTAAAAACAATTTTTAGCCGAGCCATAAGTTAGATTTAATTTTTTTTATTTTAATAATAAAGCAATTGACTCGCACGATGATGAGTGAATTCGCTGTCTAAAACACTTAAAACCCTAAATATTGCAGAAACGTAGCCGGACCTACACCCGGGAAGTTAAAATGTAATATAATTACATTAAATATAATATTTGTTTCTTGTTTTTTCAACAAAATCTGTGCTATAAAGTAGTAGTGTAGTAATTCACAAGGAATCATCCCTTGTTGAATGTGAATGTCAAAGATTTTGTCATGGTTTTCCCCATGAGTATTCACCAAACAACCAATATAAAAGGAAAGAAAAGATGCTATTTAAAGAATAATTAAGCAGACGCTTTAAAGTCTGAAAATAAATTTAATTAATTTTGTTCTTTTCTCCAGGGATTTCCAAGACATATTTTTAATTTTTCGAATGACAAAAAACAATGATTAACATCGGTCTTAACTTTTAACAAGAGTTTGTACCGTCAATATTGTTCTATAAAAATAACTGTTTTCAATTAAGAAATAATGTATTATACAAAATGAATAAGATACATAAATGATTAATAGTAATATTCAAATATCGTGAAATGACTTATTTATGTGAAAACTAACTAACTTTGAATGTGGCCAGAAGTTTGTTTGGGTACAGAAAGAAAAAATCGGTAAAATTGTTAAGACGACATTGATTTGTTTTAGTTAGTTTTCTGTATATATATAAAACAGCTATATTAAAACAGGCGTACGGAATTGGTAGGTTGGTCATTAATCTTTGTATACGAGGGACACGTGGTGTCTCCCCTCACTTTATATTTATTTTCGGAAGCGATTATTAATAGAAGATATTCTATTTGCGTTCATAACGTGGTCATTGCCCTATTTGGTTGTGTGTTTACATGGCGCTATGCCAGGGAAATGTCATGATGCTTGTGTGGGGAAAAACGTAGGTAATTTTGGATGCATCCGCTTGTGTAAGATAAGTGTGTTTGGGAAAAGTGTTATGTGAATGCAGGGATATGTGTGAAATCTTGTTTGTTTTATTTTAATATTTTTTGGTGGTTATGTGTGTTTTGAACTGATACGTAAGAATATATTTTAATAAAAGTTGTTAAACATTTTAAACTTTAAAGGTTAGTTATGTATGTAGCTTGTGATAAATTGTTTTATTACCTCTTACGATGACGCCTGTATTCACTTATTGTTCTTGTGAACATTATAAGGTTGTGGCATTCATTGCAATAGAAAGAAAAAAAATTTTTAAGTAGACCCTAATAAGTAAAAACTTACACTTTAAATCTTAAAAATAAATAAACTAAGTATTAACTCTCTGTCATTATTATTTAGTTTTTTTTAGTATTAAACTAAAGTATGTTGAATGTAATATACATTTATAATTTAATTTAGTTGAAAGAATTTTCAATAATTTTTTTTAACTTATTTACATTTTATTTGCCTCTTATTTTGATATAACCACCGAACAAAGTGTGTTCGTAATGACTGTACTTGTGCGAAATCTAGACAAACATCTAGGCACACGTGCTATGCTATCAATATCGTGTAAGCAAAGAAATTCCATTGTAATGATATCTGTGAATAATATTATCTTGGCTCAAGTTATTTTGTGTTCAAATACGTCACTTGAGAGTATTGGTTCGTGATATTTAAGTAAAAATACATTCTACATTCAATTTAATTCTATCAACCCTACTTTTATAAATGTTTGCATGCTTAGTAAGGCAGAATGACATTGATGTACTCACCTACATTCATAGCAAATAAATATATGATTGATAAATTTAGGTGCTAGTTATGGAAGGGATAGTACATGTATCATAAAATGGATATTTTAGGTAAGACGAGGTATTTTTATAGCTCTATTTACTTGCAATTTTTATTAGTTTCTGATGAGCGTGATCTGATTCTGCACCTAAAATTAATTGCTGACGAGGGAGCTCCTCAGTGGCCAACTTTACAAAAGATAACTCATTCTTGGTACATTAAAAGTACATGCCAGTTTTTAAATTATTTTTCTTTTAATAAATTTAATAGAACTTTATATTTATTTATAGGTGATTGTTATTGTAATAAAAAATACAATCTTATTCTTCAGTGTCTTTTAATTTCAAGATAGAAATAGTTTAATAGTTTGTTTGTAGCTGATGAAATAACGATGAAAGTATACATTTTTTTGTATTTTTGTGAATTTCATTGCCATTATATAAGAATCAGTATTTATGTGTAAATTCTCATAATGTAATAAGAAATCTTAAGTCGACTTCTGTCTGTAGTCGTCTATTAATATCACACTGCGGTTTTGCCGCCAAGGTTTCAAATGACCTAATTGCGTCATGTTTTTTGCATTCCGCTGACGGACAATAGATTTCTACATTTGAACAGTGAAACTTGCTTCGACCCGATAAACATTTGTTCACACTTTTCTGATACTAATTATTGAATACAGAAAATTCTATGTCAGTGTTTATTTACTTCATTTACTGCAGTGGTGACAATATGATGCTTCACTAGAATTATTCACATCTAGGTATGTTGTCGAATTAATGACAATTCAGTTATTACGTAAATACCTACATTAGTAATAAACAATAAATAAAGGTTAATAGTTATATATGTATATACATGAAAATGTGGTACTTGTAGTATTTTTATTGATTATGCTATACTACCCCTTGTAGTATTTCCGGTGTTTTCAATATACGTCATAAAGTAGGTTACACTCTTATGGTCAAACGTAAATCAACAACTAAAATTACAACAATAAATCTATAAAAATATTCATATACAAACAAAAAAAAATTAATTTGGTAAAACTCTTCACAAAGGCAAGTCCTAGTGTTTCCAGAAATGGGCTTCCACCTAACAGAAAATATTTTAACTTTTGCGACACAGATCAAATCGAAACCTCCACATTCCATAGTATCGTTCACAAATATGAGGTTATTTGCAGAGGTAAGTGAATATTTACACACATTTAGAAAAAAAGCAGGACAAAAAAGGACAACAAGGGATAGTTTCTATTAAAAGTCACCATAACCTTAATATATTCAAAAGAATAACGATATACAAATCGCATAATAATAGTTCATACTGCATTTTGAAGATTTGCACTAGATGCAATACACGACAATGACCAATGCTTGCGGCCTGTCGGCGACTTTCGTAACGCGCTCACCCGACGACGCCAGTACGTACAAGTTAAGGAGAGAGCGTCCAGAATATTACTGTCAAATAAAAACTAGGCAGAACACTATCACTCAATGCGTTTCGTTCTTTATTGAATGTGTAGGTTTAATAGAATAAAAAAAAATTAAGAATTTTAAAAAAATAAACTTTTTTTATAGTAGCGGTAAACACTATCTTGACTTAAATTATTTTATAAATGCGAAAGTAAGTTTGTTGTGAAGTTAGACGACTATCAAGAGACCTAATTATTATTCAATAAAAATGTTATCCGTAATCTGTGATGACTTTTTTTTTAATTAATATAGTAGGAGAGCCATGCTTCGGCACATTTGGGCCAGGCTCCACCGGAGTGACTGTGATACCATGATCTC